AGGTGAGAATGTTTTTTAAAGACCAACCCTAAATATGACCAGTCCCAATCCTGGGCAACTGCCCAGAATAAAAGAGAGTTGGAAGAAAGAAACTTTGCTTTTGCCTACTTGCCTTCACTCTTTCTGGCAAGTCAATCTATCCTGATGCTGCACATTTCTTCACTGATATTAGAGCAGTGGTTGTTAACCTTCCTAATACTGTGACCCTTTAATATTCTTCCTCATGTGTGGTGACCCCGCCCACCATAAAATACTTTCATTGCTACTTCATAACTACAACTTTGCTACTGTTATGGATCATAATGTAAATATCTGTGTTTTCAGATGGTATAAATGGCCCCTGTGAAAAGGTCATTAGATGTCCAAAGGGGTGGAGACCCAGAGGCTAAGAACCACTCCACTATGTTAGAACAATTACCTTCAGGTTTCAGTGCAGAATGACAATGACAATCAGCAGCTCTGTGGGAGTCCTCCAGGCCTTTAGCTCCAGGATAAAACTTCTGAGAAAGACATCTAGCCCCATGATTTGAGCAACTACCAGATCCCTGGCTTTTCCAGTGTGAAACAGTTGTGCTACCTAGACCATACCATGGAAGCCAAGCTAATAAATCTCAATTTAACATATACCCATTTAATTTGTTCTATTCCTCTGGAGACCACTAACTATAACACCAACCACAGTCAGATACCACTAACATTACAGCAGCCTCTGCTTGTCATTCGTGACTTTTAAACTGTCTCAGGAGCCACTGATTGGTGACCTGAATCTGGCTGGCATTCTGTCTGTAGAGAGTACAAAAGCCACTATTTGAGACTGACTTCATAGCAAATCATGTCACCATCATAAGGGTTACCATCCGTTTTCCTTTTTACAATCAAAATGACAACTTCTGCCCACATAAAGTGAGTTTCATCAGCAATATGAACAGTCTCCTTGAAGACTCTTTTTCCATCCTGTTCTGTGTTTTTGTATTGTTCAATCCGTTCCTAGTTAAAATATGGCTCAGGAGCCCCTCCCCTCCACTAATTAATCCTTTCTCTGATATAAGCAAGAAACTGGTTTGTGTGTTTGGATAATTAAAAGTATAAGCATTAGAATGAACACACTCCCCAATATGTATGCACGTGGTGAAATGAGCTTGCGATCCTTGGGACTAGAAGAGTTAGTAAGCCATTAGTTGAGTGATAGAGATGGGAATAATTTGTGTATGATAGAAGAGAAAGAGGTTTAGAAGCCCCTTAAAAAGTAGATGTCTCATGGCAGAAAAAGGATATGATAAAACATGTCACAATTTTTAGGGAAATGTATGCATTAGTTACACTTTGTTGCTGAGATAAAATAACACTACCAAGACAATTTATAGAAAGAGGAATTTGGGAGGGGCTTGCATTTCTGCTGTGGGAGAGACTGTAAGGTTGGAGGTGGCTGTATGGGAGGCTGAACGATCACAGTTCCATCCACACGCTAGACACAGTGACAGTAAACTGGAAGTTGAGTGGACAGTACACTCTCAAAGCCTGGCCCCAGGGATGTGTTTCCTCCAAGAAGGCTTTACCTGCCACTGGGACCAAGTGTCCAAATATGTCATATAACAGTGAAAACATCTCACTCAGTCCTTCACAGTACCAGTGGTTTAAATCTATAGACACTTATCTTCACTTACATTTTCCCAGCACATGTCAAACATTCATAGCATCGGAAATGCTGATTAATTCATTTTTGCTTCCATCCATAGTTTATTGCTTGTCTATAAAATGTGTATCTAGCATTCCTGTAGATAAAACTCAAATGAATACATGCAAAACTTTTAGAACATTGTCTAGCATATAATACTAATAAACAGTCATTTTATTATTCTTTCCATTATTCTTTCCAGCTCTTCCACGGTCATCACAAATTCTGACCAAAATTCAAGACAAATATAGCCTAAGTGAAAATGTCATGTGTTTTAAGTTCAAAACATTTCAATGTAAATGTGAGGGCTTAGCTGAAGATTTGACTGTGTTGGGCACCAATAATTGTCAACATTTTGTGGAGTTGGTCTATGATTTGACTTTACAGCTGTCGATGTTGGGACTGTCACATAAATCATAGTCAAAATGGCAGATGGATATTGTTAGAAATTTTAGAAATTGTTGGAAATTATGTCCTAATCCCAAGATATTATTCACCTAATGATTTTTATAAAACTCAAGTCAGCAACTCATATAGCAATTTTAAAAATTAAACATTTGAATTCAACTCAATCCACAGGCATACAAAATTGATTCCTTCTGAGGAATGACAGTAAGAAAATATTATTAAAAGTTTTCATTTTCTGTAATAAAATTATTGTGCTTCTATAAGAAGAGAACACCTTGTATATCCAGTAAAGCCACTGCAATTCATTCAGATTAGCCTCATGTCTGGGCCAAGATGACTCGGGCAGTATTCCTTAGTACTGTGGAATGATATGTATATGCTCTGTACTCAGAACCAAGACTGCATTGATGTTTCAAAATGTAACATGGGGGGAAGCATTGTCAGAAACACTTGGGGTCTGTTATACATTATATTTGAATTTATATTTTGTCACTGTAGATTCACAAACCTGATACAAATTGCCAGATTTTTCTGGCAATACCCCAATATTCTGTTGTGGTAGTCATAGATTAGAAGCTGGTGTTTGAGCCACCCAGCTCAATGCTTTGTTATATTATCTTAAGGATCCTTTAGGTGTGAGAAGAAGAATTTGAGAGGAAAACACGTGGATCCAGTAAGAGTGGTATAGAATGAGGGAGCCAACCAGATTCTTTGAGGCTAGAAGGAAGTTTGTGGGGAAGAAAGGAAGCCTACAGAAGAGGACTTTCAGATGGGAACCACTACATAGTTTACCCGTGCAGGATTATCTGAACTTGTGAAGGACAAGAAGTGAGAACATTCTAATGTGTCAGATACTGTGCCTCACTGGACTAATATTCACAGAGAGCTTGACCTCGGATACCTAGAAACACTAGGGCATATATTGGGGTAGAGATGACCTTATGCCTACCCAACTCAGCCCAGATTGATGCTCAGAAGACTTCACTTACATCTTGTCTTCTTTCCCAAGGACACACATGTGACTTGGTAGGTAGAGCTGACAAAACACTGGGTAAACAACAGTCGTAAGCATGGCTGCTCCCTGTGATTGGGCCTGGATCCATTAGGTGTGGAAAAGTGACAATATCCATGGTTCAGGGATGATTTTAGACCTTAGCAGACAAGTTTGACAGTCTGCTTATACAGAAAAATGGGATGCCTAAGGTCACATTCTGCTTTCTCCAGATGCATATGTTTCCTTGAGCTTAATCCCCAGTGAGAAGGGAAAGAATCCCAGAGAAAGCATACACTGGTTTGGCACAAACCTGAAATCATACATAAAAGCCTAGAATGACTCTTTTTACCTGGATCTGAACTTCCCTTTAAAACACATCAGATCAGTATCTGCCTCAGAGTACAGACAGCTCTGGTCTTGTGCATTTCAGAAGACCTGTGACTATAAGACATAAGAAACAGCACTTTTTAAAAAAGTTCTCAGACACAAATGTTAATGGCTCAAGTATATACATCCCTTTTGTACCATCAGGCAAGTGGGGACTGTAATAAAAATAAGTAAACATCTCTTGAGCACAAGGCTAAAAAAAACAGTGTCAGATATATTTTCCACTGTTTGTTTTAAGCAAACTCCTTCCTGATAGACAGTCGTGGTCTAGCCTTGTCTTCAAAGCTGGGACCTGCATGGGTGGATATGATACATGATTGTTCCATCAATGTCTGCTCTCAGTGAAGCTAGCTTATCTTGACCACAGGATAGTGGCCATGTGGATGACACCAGAAATAGCTGAGATCCATCTTAAGGAAGGCACTTCAATGGAGTTTGAGGTAGGTACTTTGTAAAGTACCTCCCAGCAAGCTTGAGGACCTCGGTTAAAGTCCCTAGTACCCAAGAAAGTACCCAAGAAAAAGCCTGTCTTAGGGGTAGTGCTATAATCCAGCAGTGGGTGCAGAGGCTGGAAGACCCTGGGAGCTCACTGACCTATCAAACACCAGGTTTGGTGAGATAACTATTCCCTAAACGACAAAAGCCAAATGGAAACTGGAAGCTCAAGAAAAGTTCTTTTTGCTTTGATTATGTAATCCTGTGTTTCACTCTCCTGGCAAGTGTTTGCTTTCTAAAGTGTTTCTGAAGACTTGTGGATTCAAATAGACAACCAATCAAGTAAAAAATTGATTTTAAAACTTTCTTATTTCTAGTGTGTAGCATATATATGTGTCCATGTGGAAGTGTGATGTATTCATGAAGAGGTGGTGTGTGTGTGTGTGTGTGTGTTGTGATGTTAGATGTCTTCCAAGATCTACCCCCCTCTTTTGAGATGGGAGTCATAAACACACCCAAACTGTCCAATGGCCAAAACTAGTAGCTCTATTGAGATACAGAATCTTTCTACATTCACATATTACTTTTATTATTTTACCAAAATAAAACAAAACAAATAACGATAACATGAAATTATTATGCCTGGATATATATTATACTAACTCTAAGAGGCCAGATTTTCCACTTTGAAAACAAACTCATCTCAAAAGAGCAGCAGATTTAGGGGAGACTTTCCAAAAACATATGCACAACATATGAGACAACCCAAAAATTTTAAAGAAAAATTCCTTTGATTTAAAACATTTGTGGTTTCTAATCGAACAACTAGACATTTAGAAAAGGTAAAGAGTCGCAAAGGGTTGTAGCTAGGTTACCCTCGCTTCCATACCTCACTGCTGTCACCGTGGGGACCTTTCATGATTCATAATGTTTCCATACAGGTTTACCTCCTGCCTTCCAAAGAGATGAGGAAATAAAAGGAATGTTTTGTCGTTTGCGCAATTGCGAGTGTCTGCCAGTAGATGGCGGTAACACGTTGGGTGCTGCCAGCTTTTTTTTTTTTTTTTTTTTTTTTTTTTTTTTTTTCCCTTCCAGGGCCGTTTCTGATATATGTTGGGTACCATAGAGTGAATCTCAGAACAGGAAGCGGATACATAAGCAGAGAGGATTCTGGAAAGGTCCCTTTGTTTTCAAGTCCACAGAGAAAGCAAGAAAAAAAAAATAGAATTTAATTTGCAAATCCCTGTGGCCCAAATCTGAAGAACTGCAGGGGGTGGCACGTTCCATTCTAACCATCTTGGATGCTGGCCTTTGTTGAGCTGTGATTCCTAAGGCTCTCCATCAGGTAAGCTGACACAACATTTAATTGTTTGCACCGTAGAATCTAGCTGCCAGGTCCATCTTTTCATTTTGAAACCCTCTCCATGCTGCCATATTTTAGCCTAATGTTTAAATGTAAATTATTAAGGCTGAGGGCATCATTTGATTTGTAAACTGCTTACTATCCCCTTATCTTTCAAAGGAAACAGAGCTTCTGTCTGGAAATGGTGACTTACAACACAGACTAGGGATTAAGGAGTGTGTGTGTTTGGGAAACAAGCAGATGTTTGGGGCTCATTGTATAAAGAGAACATCTGTTTTGTTAGACTTAATGCCAGGCAGATAGATTTCACGACTATACACCGCCTATGTAAGTGTTCAGCATGCCCGGCACCTTTGAGCCATGAATGTGTAGAGAAACTGGAACTATCTTCCCTGTGCTTCAGTTTTCTATTCAACAGCTTTGGAGAGGCCATGTATGCAGGCAGTGACAACAATACAGAGGTGTTTGGCTATTTAGACAATGCCATTTTTCTTCAAAATCCAGCAGCATAGAGTGAGGGCAATCACCAAGAGTAGTCTTAAAACACATACGATTTGCTAAAAATGAAATGATCCCAAAGATTTCTGTATGTTCCATAGCCTCCTGTTTTGGTATCTTTACCTGTCCCATAAGCTTGATAGAGTGATAGGTTTATTTTCTCCTGGGACATTTCATGATTGTTTTTTTTTATTTTAAGTCCTATTACTACCAATCACCAGGAAAACCCATCTGAGGCCAAATGAGAATAATTTCCATTGTGTAGAGTCTGTGGTTGTCACTAAAATGTTTCACACCATACTCATAATGTTTCATTCAGTTAGCAATCACACCATTGCCACATTGCCAAAAAAAACCTCCAGGCAATAGCTGAAAGACAAGTTTTTAAGATTAGAAAGCTTTACATGTGCTAAGTGTGTGCATGCATGTACACACTCACAGGAGGTAATGTAATGTCCCTTGTGAGGACAAAGATGAAGGAACGCTTTAGTTTTCACGAGGATCTGCCTGGAAATATTTTATCCAACCCATGCTGAACAATGTGTGCCCTGTGAGAAATAAAGACCTGTGGTTTCAACACAGGCTTTGGTCTGTACTAAACAAAGGGCCTGAAAAACGGACCTGGAGGTACTTGAAATATGTTTTCTCGTCCTGTGGTGAACAAACCAAGGGATCTCACTTAGTAATTTAGCTTGAGTGGCAATAATACTCCCCCTTAAAACATTTCAAAATAGTGTCTGCCTCCGAGGAAAGCCCTGGTCTCATGCATTTCAGAACTCCAACTATAGGACTTAAAGAAAAGTGTTCTCTTGGAAAGAGATTTTAGAAATCAAGGTTCATTAGCTCAGACGTATTATACAGTACACGCCATGCCTTTCTGCAGGTGACTGGATGTGAGTAACTTTGTTCTTTGTAAATGCCAGAGCTGGTTGATTAGACTGGTTTATATTTGTGAATGGGTGTTTGTATTTGGACCATGAAAGTTTCCCTTTTTGGTTTTGTTTTTAAAGTGGTAATGGTACCTTCATTGTTCATTTAGCTTAGTTGCTCACCTCCCTTAGATACTCTCCTATTCATATGGTTAAAATGTGAGATGCTCACAAGCACACACATCTTCACCTTACAAAATAGGCTCTTGAAAGTCTTCAGAAATGAAATGTTTTATTACACGATTTCTATGACAAATTAGAGTATTCCATCCTTTACAAAAGTGTAATGGTGATTTCATTTGTAAGATTCAGGCACATATTCTTTTTTTTTTTTTCCATGTAGTAGATTCAGGTATTTCTAGCTCTGAGCTGAAAATGGGGGCATGGTTCAGGTTCTACCACTTCAGAGCTCTGTAGGTTCCAAAAGGACACCAGATACTACAGGAGTGCATTTCCTTGGGAAGTGGAGTCAAAGACCAATTCTAATTCATTCAGACTTCCTGATGATTTGGGTGGGGGGATCTGCCAGGGGGCATCCGTGGCTCCCCCAATGTATGTATGACAATGGTTCTCTAAGAATGAAGGTAGAAAAACAGAGAGGCAGAGACATTTTTGCGTCCTTGGCCAGTTCCTTGTTTGGTAGAGACAGCAAGGGGTTAATGGAGAAGTGGTGAAGAGATTGGCAGGCAGAAACAACTCTACTGTTTTCTAACAAAGTAATCCAACTTCTGGAGCCTCTATTACATTGTCAATAAAACAAGGATAAGCCTACTTAGAAAACTAAGGGAATGAAATAAGTTCTGTCAGAGCCTAGTGTGGATGGCAGGATGTGATTGTCTCCTCTCTCCTCTGCCACCCCAACGCCCACAGAAAGGAACAGGTATCGTTGCTATTATTAGTGCCAGCTATGAAATGCCTTCTACCACCACAGGAGGGGGGAGGTGAAACCACAAGGAATTCTTTAGCTTAACAGTGGGGGACTGTCATCTTGGAGGAAGTCCTTGGCTGACAGCAGGACAAATGTGTTACCCATGACATTGTCAGTTAGTGGTGACATCACAGGCACTTTCTGGAGAGTTCCTGGAACTTCTAGAAGATGGTTCTTCCTGTCCCTTGATGTCATTATGGACTGCATTGTGTTTGTTTGTTTGTTTGTTTCCTTTTATCTTTTTAGCAAAAATCAAATCCAAGGACTTTATTTCCTTTTATCTTAATAGGACTTGCCTTTCAGAGAAAAAGCCTCTGGGAGGGTCCACACAGGCAATATGTGTTTTGTGAGAAATACCGTTTTAAAAACAAGTAATTTCTGTAATACTATGATGATCAGATTACATCATCTAAACCTCAGAAATGTCCTAATGAGTGACAAATTCTCTGGGCTTAAATCCTGCTAAGGATACAGCTAAAGGTGGGAAGGCAAAATGTCCCTGATGAAATTGGTGACATGCTATGAGAACCCTGCATCTCCCCAGATTCTAAGTGTGGCTTGGTACTCCTGACAGCTGTGTGCTACTGGGATCTCTGGGAGCTAGAGCTGGGGTGACCTTTCAGCACCCCAGGCCTCCTAATCCTTCCCTTCAACCACCCTGGGCCTCTTTAAACTGACTTCAGTAACTGTGCTGTCAGCTCCATCTTCATGGCATCCAGGATGACTTAATGGACTCAGGATAGCACAGAGCCAATGTGCCGAGAGCAGGGAGGCTTAGCAACTGGAGGGTAAGATTTCTCAGCAGGACAGGCACTGAGCTAGCTGTGGCTAGTCATTTCTCTTGGCTCTAGCTTCTTCCTAGCTCCTGTGAGTCTGTAATTGCAGGGTGAAGTTTATCTGAAGCCATCTGTAAATGCAAGTAAGTAATGATGTGTGTGTGTGTGTGTGTGTGTTTCCAACAAAATGATCATAAGATGGGATAGTGGCATTTCTTCCTCTGAGTGGCTGTCCATACTGCTATTTCTTGTTATCTTTCAAGCATGGAAACTTTATGAACTTCCTTTGTGACAGAGTCTCACCTGTCATCTAAAAATATAGTCTTCATTTCTGCACTCATATAATGGGTTGTTTTATTCATTCTACAAGACAATGACGGTCAGTTGCCCACCTGCTCCTGAAATACAGTTTAAATCAGAAACAGTTAACTTCGCTACTTTTAGGCTCTTTTTTTTTTTATTAACTTCAATTCGCACTTGGTTTTACCCCCATTTGAATGTTGCCTCGTGGACATTTTTCACAGGCAACCAGTATGCAACAAAGTCTCTGAACTCCTACCTGTTTTGTGCTCAGAAATTTAGGAAAGGGAAAGTCAACACTGCTGTTACTGAATCTTGTGCCTCTGTTTGATTGGCATCTTCCATAAGTCACCTTTAGCTGACAATATGTTTCATTTTGGGATGAAGTTAGCACATTCTTCAGTTGTACTTTAATCTGATATAATAAACAGCAACCGCCAAGTTCAGAGAAAAATAATACTGATTTTCACTTTGTCAACTGCAAAGACAATAAAAGTTCACTTGCTTACAAAGCAGAGAAGTACTTCTCATTCTGTGAACTATCACATCTGCTCCGGCTCTCTGGGTCTCTAAAGTTTGACTTTTTATCTGAATACAAAATTATCCTCAGTAGAATTCTATAAAATTTAATGTGAATATCTACTTAACTGGACAGGTAAGTTTCAATGTGCCAACAGCTTATAGATTATTTTTTAAATGTCTTCATCCCTTTCACTCTAGATTTGAAGTTGAAGAAGTTTTTTGAAAGAAAATTTTTCCCAAAATATATGAATAAAAAACAAGTATGAAGAAAATATTAAAAATGAGTACAGATAAACACAGTTGTGACTGAATGTGGGAATCTTCAAGGATTGCCAAAGTTAAAAAAATCCCTTTAAAAGTATCCTTTATTTCTATAATAATTGAGTTAGACTTCCATCCTCTTTAAGAGTGTATTCAGGAAGCCCTCCATGTGATCACGCTCTATGCTGGAGCAAAGTAAGAGAAATGATAGTCCCTACATTACCGAAGAGTGATTTAATATTGTTTTAGTCAGTGGGTAAATTCAAAGATGGGAAGTCACTCTTTAAATAATGTTGGCCATTTTCTGTCAAGAAGTTCCCTTTGGGGTACTTTAATATCCTGGTAGTCAGAATTTGTTTTATTCTCGAGTTGTGCAGAACATTTTGTACTTTTACTTTTCCAGGAGTTTGTCTTGAAGTAATTAATTAAATCACAATTCTTGTTCCAAAGTGGCATTGGGACTGCCATGTTCTTGCAAAAAGTTGAACAGTACACATGTTGTGGTCTTAAGCCTCTGCTTGAGAACTGATCACTTGTTTGTTAGGTTTTTTGTTTTGTTTTGTTTTTGTTTTCTTTTGTTGACTTCTTGATATCTGTGTGTGTCATTTACTTTCAAGAAATTTCTTCTGTTCCAACTTAAGATATTCCAAAGTATTCTAGAAAATCATGACAGGGATGACCTTAAAATGAAGCCAAAGGAAAGGAATTCAAACTTCTGTGCAAAGTAGGTTGAGGAATTAGTGAAGCTGTTCATGATGAGATTAAGGG